CTCAGCCACAAGCCAGGCTGATGGCTGCCAGTACAGCGGTGGTGGTGGGAGCCTCTCCTGCCTCCTCAGCAGCGCTAAGGATGTCCAACTGCAGTTTAGGCCTGCTCCCCGCTGGCAAGTGGACATCCCCCGAGGGCTGTGGGGCTGCCAGAGGGATGTCTGATTGCCATCTTAGGCCCAATCCCCCGGGGAGCAGGCCTAAGCCAGCAAGTGGTCACCCCCGAGGGGTCCCAGACTGCGAGAGGCCGGGCTGAGCGACCCCCTACCCTTGAGTGCACAAATTTTTGTGCACCGTGCCTCTAGTCTTTATATATAAAAGCCTAAGCGACCATCGCGACCGAACAGGCTGTGTGAGGCGACCAGGCCGGCAGTGGGGTTAGTGAGGGGCGACCAAGTGACAGCAGCAGGCTGCATGGGGCAACCAGCCGGCAGGGTGTAAACCGGCAGTCGGACATCCCCCGAGGGGTCCTGGATTGGAGAGGGTGCAGGCTGGGCTGAGGAGACCCCTCCCTCCATGCATGAATTTTGTGCACCAGGCCTCTAACCTAATATATGTAGACTAGAGGCCCGGTGCATGAAATTCATGCACTGCAGGTGGGGGTCCCCTCAACCTGGCCTGTGCCCTCTCGCAGTCCGGGACCCTTCAGGGGATGTCTAAGCTGGCAGTCAGACATTGCTCTCACAGTCTGGGGCTCTTGCAGTCCAGGACCCCTCACTCCTACTGCTTGCCTGCAGTAGAGGCGGGAGAGGCTCCTGTCACCACCGCTGTGCTTTTCAGCTATGAGCCAGCTGAGCGGCACTCCCCCTGTGGGAGTGCACTGACCACCAAGGGGCAGCTCCTGCATTGAGCGTCTGCCCCCTGGTGGTCAGTGCGTGTTATAGCAACAGGTCATTCCACAGTTCGGTCGATTTGCATATTAGCCTTTTAATATATACTAGTGGCCCAGTGCATGAAATTTGTGCACATTAAAAGGGAATTAATTAGAGGAAATATTTTAATATTGCTATTTGTCCTTTCTCTATAATAAAAGTGTCAGAGATGAAAGAAAATTAGCAAAATGTATTTGAAAATCTTCCTCCTGTCAGAGTCTGGGGTGCGCCGCGGGACCCAGAGTCAAGTCCCCACCCACCCGCGCGTGCCTCGAAATCGCGTAAGACCCAGACCCGGCCAGCCCCACCCCTGTCAAGCCCCGCCGCGGTTGGGGGGGCACAACCTCAGGTCCACTGGCCTGGCGCCGGGCGGGGGGCACTGCATCAGGTCCCATGTTCCGGTGCCAGGCGGGGGCTTAGCCTTAGGTCTCCTGTGAAGCCCTGCCGGGTGGGGAGCACAGCCTCAGGTTCCCCGGCCCAGGGCAAAGGGCGCGGCCTGAGGTCCCCTGTTCCGGCACTGGGGAAGGGGGTGTGGCCTGAGGTTCCCCAGGCCAGGGTGAGGGGCGCTCCTTGAGGTCTCCTGTCAAGCTCCACCGAGTGGGGGGTGCGGCCTGAGGTCCCCCACCAAGCCCCGCTAGGCGGGGGGCGCAGCCTCAGGTCCTCTGGCCCGGCTCCACGCAGCCTCACGTCGCTGCTGATCGCTCGTTATGGGAACCCCGCCTCCACTGTGGGTGGAGCCATTTGTGACATGTAATGTTAATTTGCATATTACCTCTTTATTATATAGGACTAATAGGATTACATATACATTTAGATTAAATGAACATTTTGTGATTGTTATTTTAACTTTGTCATGTAGTGAGTGATTACTTTTCCCTTTCCATAATATTTCTATTTCCTATAGTTTATCATTGTTATGTTTGTTTTGTTAGTTTTCTATGTTCTCTCTAGCATAGCACCAAACCCCTCAACAGTTACTGAAATCTCCTCTAAAAATATTTAATACACCAGGTGTTCTAATTCTAAATCTTCTGTCACCATACTGGGCATTTCTTTAACCTGAATCTCTTCTTTCTTACATCCCGTGCCTTCCTCATTTGCTGTATCCTTCTTATTGGTGGTGAGGCATTGGCTACTTCTTGGGAGAATGGTTCAATGGATGTGAACTTTTTTAAACCTTGCATGTCTCAAAGTATTTTTATTCTTACCTAGTTTGAAAATTATTTTCCTACAGCAATTTAGAAGCATTGCTTTATTGTCTTTTGACCTCTGATCCTGATTCCTAAATTTGTGTATGTGAGTGTATGTGATATAATTATTATTTTGTGTGTGTGTGATTTGCTGTGTTTGTTTGCTTTTTTCTTCTGAAAGCTTGTAAAGTCAGTATTCTGGTGTGACTGTTTTCATATATTGTGTTGAGCCTTTTCAACCTGAAAAATTATGTCCTTCATTGGACATAAAAGCTGTGCTACATAATATGCTTTCTGTAAAGTTCAAGCAAGCATGTTTGACCCATAAACTTCAGCATTCCAGCTTGTCACTGAGTGACTCAGGATACCAGCAAAAGACTTTCTTCCCAGATTCTCTCATATCTCTTTAAGGTAGATAAAATGGGTAAGAAGTCCAGTGTTGCATCAGGAAACCTAGAAATGTATTGAAGAAGCAGAAGACTGATTTGATACTGTATGTAATGAATGATCTCTCAATGGACTACATTTCTTAGAGAAGGTTGAACAGAGATGTTTAAGAGTCACAATCAAGGTATATTAGTTACCCTAAGGTTGCTATAACAAAATGCCACAAATTAGATGGTTTAAAACAACAGAAATTTATTCTCTCATGATTCAGGAGGCTAAAACATGAAGTCAAGGTGTCAGTAAGGCTATACTTCCTTAGAAGGTCCTAGGAAAGAACCCTTCCTTGCTGCTCCCAACCTCTAGTGTCCCTAGGCCTTCCTCGGCTTGTGGCAGTTTAACTCTCATCTCTGCCTCAGCCTTCTTCATTTTCTGTCTCTCTGTGCCTCTGTAACCAAATGTTAGGGCCCACCCTAATCCATTGTGATCTCTTAAATTAAATCTGCAAGGATCCTGCTTCTAAATAAGATCACATTCTGAGTTTCTAGTTGAACATAAATTTTAGGGGAAGATTATGCAGTGCAGTACGCAAGGTAATTAGATAGCAGGAAGTCCTGGCAGAGGATTTTCACCAGGTATAATCTGAAGACATTATTCTGGGTGACATTACCTAGATCAATCTTCTAAACAGTAGATTTCAAACTGCCACCATCTTGCTTTTACTTAGATATTCAAAAGTTTATATTACCTGCAAGGGAAAAAGCCTTATATTGGGTTATTTAACATTGTAGGATAAATTTAAAATAAAGATGTTTGAAGCTGGTAGCTCTTCTTTCACACACTAGTGAAATTTATTCACTTGCTTTATGGAATGTTTACTGAATGCCAACTATTAACCGTTATTGTTCTAGGCACTGGGTCTAAGCAGGGGTGGAGAATGTCTGGCCCACGGGCCATATAAGGCCTGCAAAATCATTTGGTCTGGCCCTGCCAAGGCGTTAGGGATGAGTTAATTAAATGTTTGACCAGATATAGCAGGCTAATTTTTAAGTTGATAATTTTGTATGGCCCTCAAAAATGTTATATATATCCAAATAACCCTTGGCAGAAAAAAAAGGTTCCCCGAACCTGGTCTACAGCAATGAAGAAGATAAAGTGTCTGCCTTACTGATATGCAGATATCTGCACTGGCATGAAGTATTAGGTGATGTGAAATAAATGAGGAATGATGGAAAGTGTTGTGTTAGTTAGGCAACATTTTAGCAGAGACCTGAATACAGTGAGATGATCAACCATATATATATATATATATATATATTTGGGAGTAGAGTATTCCAGGTAGGGAAGATCTTGCAATGGAAAAGCCTAAGTATCAAGAACAGATAACATGATCTGGTTATATTTTAAAAGCTCACTGTGGCTGTTAGAGGGAAAATTGGCTGTAGGGGAGCAAAATGCTAAAGAGAGTGACCAGGTATGAAATTATTACATTTGTCCAGGTGAGAAGACCGTTGGTGAAAGGTAGTAAGAGTAGAAATGGTAAGAAGTGAGTATGTTTTGCAGTTGGAACCATACGATTTGCTGAAGGATTAATTATTAGATGTAAAGGAAGGAAAAATACAATAGAAGAATCCTTAGAGTTTTAGGCCTGTGTAACCAGAAAAGTTAAAATTACTTACAATAAAATGGGAAAGTCTATAGTAAAAGTGGGCTTGAGAAGAAAATCAAAGAATTATACAACTATCAAGGAGGTGGTTGGATATGAGTCTGTAGCCCAAGTTAAACTGGAAGTAGAAATTTGGAAGTTGTTAGCCTACAGATGATATTTAAAGCAGTTAACCCGCATTATGAATTTTCTAAATTCTTAAATACATTAAATATGATGTGTAATCTGTTCCTGTTCAGTCATCATCAAATATTTATAAAGTTTTGGCTGTAAGCCAGGCACTGTAGTGGAAGGTTCTGAGAATGCAATAGTGATATTGTACATTCAAAGTATAAATATAGAGGATTAGATAATTTCTAGGTGTATATTAAATGGAAGTTCAAACATTATATAGTCATAAGTTATATCACCGAGCTTAATACTATATATCATTTGATTCCTTCGTATTAATTTAGTCTTAACTTGATCTTTTCAGTTCTTTGAAAGCAGGAGCTATATTATACTTTTTAAAAAATATGTATTTTTTATTGATTTCAGAGAGGAAGGAAGAGGGAGAGAGATAGAAACATCATTAATGAGAGAGAATCATTGATTAGCTGCCTCCTGCACACCCCTTATGGGGGATCGAGCCCACAACCAGGGCATGAGCCCTTGACTGGAATCGAACCCGGGACCTTTCGGTCTGTAGGCCGACGCTCTACCCACTGAGCCAAACCAGCTAGAGCGATATATTTTTTTATACTTTTTAAAAATCACATGTAATGCCTACCACAATTTTAGAAAGACATTAAGTACCCAAACAATATTTATTCATTGATTACACAATAATTATAATTATCCAAGGACAGTAGTATTTTTATCAGCGTGAATTTTATTGTTTCAATTTGCAGCCTGAATCTACTGCGACTGAAAGAGCAATTGCCAGATTAGCAATGCACCCTCTTCTGAAGAAAAAAATAGATATGCTTAAAGGTATGAATTAAAGCCATGTACTTATTAATGCATTTGTGCATATTATTTTGAAAAATGGCTGTTGATTTATTTGTGTTTTTGGTTCTTTTGCCTTTCAAGGACCTTTTCTGTTATAAATATCTCTTTCAAATATTTCCATATGTATGGGTAGAGGCTTGAAAATATGGAAGGTAACTGATACCTAAAGAATTATCTAACTATCAAGAAGGTGGTCTGTAGCCCAAGTTAATTCATATTTTTTTCTAAATTCTAATATTTGAATATATGTAATATATATTCATGATTATATTGAATACAATTGATTTTCTAATTATTGATGTAATTCATATTATTTTTGATGTGTCTACTACTTAGCCATATGATTTTCATTTATGTGCATGTGTATTATAAAATGTATTGAAAGAATTAAATGCTTTTGTCACAGATTGGAAGATATTTTTATGTCTGAAAGCCAATTCATAATGCTCTACAATTATATCAATGCATTATTCCTATAGAAATTAAAGTTATCATTTTGTTTTATTTATTTGCATTCAGTAAAGTTTTTATTGTTCTTCAAGACTCCAAGGCATAAAATGATGGGTTTTTCTCATTTTATGTTTTAAATGGATACTCCTGAGCTTTCTTACTCGAAGTTTGGTTTCTAAAAATCAGTAGCTTTCTTTGTAAATTCAGACTGTTTGTTATATATATATATACTCATGCATCACTTAATAACAGGAATAACATTCTGAGAAATGCATCATTAGGCGATTTCATAATTATGCAAACACCATTCAGGGTACTTACACAATTAGATGGTATGGCCTCCTACACACCTAGACTCCATTATAATGTCAAGTAACCACTGTCATATATGGCGTCCATTGTTGATGGAAATGTCATTATGTGGTGCGTGATTGTATTTAATATAATGTATAAATTAGCCCAAGTGTTCCTAAATAATATAAGGAATATTATACTAAACACTGATATTTTGTGTTGTTTCAGTGTTGAAACAAGTTGTGTGCTATTTTTCTTGCAGCTGCCGTCAAAGCCTTCAAAGATGCAAGACAGAATGATGCTGAAGTTAAGTCATCAACGAATGCTTCAGAAGAAAATCATTCCAAGGACACTTCATGTTCAAATGATAATGCCATTAAGTTGCAGCATGAAGGTGCTATTATCAGTGAGCAAAAAGACAAGGAAGCCAAAATATTAGCAAAGAAACCAATAAATAGTTCAAAAGAAAAAGTAGCCAAGATGGAACATGGACTCAAAACAGTGGATATTCCAAATTCTCCATCACAGCCTTCTGAAAAGGATCCTGTAGTTCCCTCTCGACCGCAGAAGACTCCTGCTGACCCCAAAATGAAAACAGTAAGTCAAAACCAAGAAAAGAAAGCCTTTGATAGTTCACTTGGTGATAACAGTGATGGAGAAGAATCACATGAAGAAGAGAAGGAGTATTTTGATGATAGCACAGAAGAAAGGTTTTACAAACAGTCTTCCATGTCTGAGGATAGTGATAGTGGAGATGACTTCTTCATTGGGAAAGTCAGACGGACACGAAAGAAGGAAAGTAATTGTCCTCCTTCAGTTTTGGAACAAAAATCTCCCAAAAAAGTGTTCCCTGAAGAAGATATACTTGAAACCCGTGAGAATATAAGAAATGACAGAAACAAGCCAAGTACAGAAGCAAGGAAGTTTGAATCAGTGTTTTTCCATTCTTTATCTGGATCTAAAAGCTCTAGAAGGTAATTATATTTTTATATTCTGAAATAATTATTAGTTTTTAATTTTTAAAAATATTAAATATTTACACGTCCTAATAGTGAAAGAAGAGACTACCTCCCCTCCATAATTCTGGTTTATTCAAACTACATCCTGTGACTTGGATCTCTCCCACTTTATATTAGGATAATATATACAAAAACACAGATGTCAATGACACATTTATATCCAGCTTCATAAGAAAATGAGATGTTATAGCCAAATAATTTTTCTAGCTAATTTAAGTTTATCCCTTCAGTTACCAAAGTTTTGAAACTTTGAATTAGCTTTTGATAAATAACTTTTGAAAATGTCTCACATAGTTCACTCTTTAAACAAAACTTAATGAATAAAAATGTGGTGGGTTTTTTTGTTGTTTTGTTTCTGTTAACCTATGGCCATTATTGTAACCATCCATCATTTTATTATGTATTTCTATTTCAGTACAGCTGCTTGCACTAACACCGGAGTTTTTCCAGAATGCTTTTTTATGTTTGGTGATGCTGCTGTCTCTGTCTCTGCTATTAAATACCACTTTTCACAGCTGTTCTGTTTTAAATCAATAAGTTTATTTTCATTTGTAATTTTAATCAGGTAGGGTATCTTTACACATGGTAAGCTAATTTCTTCATTATTAGCTATTTTCTTCAGTGAACTGTTTTTCTATATATTTAGAGGTCAGGGATCATTTTAATACAATAGAAAACTGATATTGAAAGAAGTTTAAGAGTATGGAAGCTGTAGCCGGTTTGGCTCAGAGGATAGAGTGTCAGCCTGGGAACTAAAGGGTCCCAGGTTCAATTCCGGCCAAAGGCCACATGCCCAGGTTGCGGGTTCGATTCCCCCCACCCCCAGCAGGGGATATGCAGGAGGTAGCCAATCAATGATTCTCTCTCATCATTGATGTTTCTCTCTCTCTTCCTCTCTGAAATCAATCAATCAATCAATCAATATAAAGAGTATAGAAAAGACACACAACCATCTTTGGAGCCTTGAAAATAATTAACATCTCCCAAACCTGCCTCGAAAGTCAACATTTTTTTTCTCACTTGAAAATAACATATCACTATCCCTTTTCTTTCCTACTAAATGTAAGTCTTAATTTTTGTTATAATGACTCATTCCCCCGTGAAAAGATTTTTTGAATTCTTTGTCTAGATAGACCTCAAAAATAGACACAGGGTAACCATAGGATATTAAGTTAGAAGATTTTTTCTTTTTAAATTTTATTTTTCAATTACAGTTTATATTCAACATTATTCATTTCAAGTATACAGCATAGTGGTTAGACAATCATATGCTTTACAGAGTGTTGCCCCCAATATTTCTAGTACCCACTTGACACCATACATAGTATTCCCTCTGCTATACTTTATATGTCTGTGACTGCTTTATAACCACCAGTCTGTACTTTTTAATCCCTTCATTTTTTTCATCCAGTCCCCCAAACCTATCCCCTCTGGCAGTCATCAGTCTGTTCTCTATATCTCTGTGTTTGCTCTTTAGATTCACATGTAAGTGAAATCATATGGTATTTATCTTTCTCTGACTGTTAAATCAGAAGATTTACTTATCTTTTAAAAATCCTAATGATGTTTTTCTTCTTTTAGAAATTACAGAGAACAGGCTCCAAAAAGCAACACCCCAGGTATGTTATTAATGGCTGGTTAACCTCCATATGCAATAAAGCAATGCTTTGTCAAAGTGGAAGGATGAAAAATTCTCATTGCTCAATAGCCTCAATGGATTATGTACCCATAGAAATGGAACTAGAGCATCTTACAGTTACCATCTTATAATTAATTTAAGTTGTTTTATTTCCCTATGTCCTGCCATTGGGAAAGATATAGACAAAACATATTAGGAAATATTGGGTGCATTTAATTTATCTTGAACTAAATTAATGCATTCTTTAAGTAAATTATTATATGAGCTATATCTTAGTCAACACTGTGCTGTGAAACATTCAGTAACAAGTATGTTACTTTCTGGGTTGAGAGTAAAATCAAAGTTTTTGGTGTGTTTTTTCTTTTTTAATCCTCACCTGAGGACATGCTTAGAGAGAGGAAAGGAAGGAGGGAGAGAGAGAGAGAGAAACTTTGATCTGTTGCCTTTTGTATATGTCCCAACTGGGGACCTAACCCACAACCCAGGTATGGGCTCTGACCAGGAATCAAACCAGCAAACTTTTAGTGTACAGCACGACACTCAACCAGCTGAGCTGCTCTGGCCAGCTCGAAGTGTTTTTAAATTAATTTATAACAAATCAAGTTTAATATATTTGGGTCGGCTGACTTCTGTGCATATTCCAAACTCTCACTGATTTAAAAACAATAAAAATTTGTTTCTCACTCACATCACAGTCCAGCATGAATCAGCAGAGGGGCTATGTTTCACATAGTCATTCAAGGATAAAGTTTCATTTGGATTCTTCCTCGTGCAGTTCCCAGATATTCTCCATTTGGCCAACAGAAGGGAATAAAGGACATGGAAAATTTTACAGAAGGTTATCATGGGCCAGGCCTGAAGTGGCAGAAATCAGTTCTGTTATCATTTCATTAGCCAAAATTCATTTACGTGACCCCATATCTAGCCACATGGGAGCTAAGAAATGCAGACTGACTCTGTGGCTAGGAAAAAAAATAAAGTGGAATTTCTTGAACAGATAATCACATAATCACCATCCTTTTGATCACCAGATGCCCTTTTATTTTCCTCCCACACATAGAGCACACTGACCTCCTTCCCAACAAAGCCAACCCAAAGGCTCATCCAGCTCAGCCCAGGATTATTCAGTGATGCTGTGGTGCTTTCCACAGAACTCATGGATGTGACTGCTCTGAGTTTAGTGACCTGTATATTAAAAAAAAAAACTGGCCCTGGCCACTGGCTCAATTGGTTGAATGTTGTCCAGTGTACCAAGGGTTTGCTGGTTTGATTCCCAGTCAAGGCAAATGCCCAGGTTTCAGGCTCTGTCCCCAGTAGGGGGTATGCAGTAGGCAACCGATTAATGTTGCACTCTCACATTAATGTTTCTTTTTCTCTCTCTTCCTCTCCCTTCCTCTCTCTAAAAATCAATAAAAATATTTTTTAATAAAACATAAAAATTTGGCACTAGCTTAGCAGTTCATTGATAGATGGTAAGAAAATAGATATCTGAGACTGAAAATGAGCATTTGTGTGCTAAAGATAGATAAAACGGTTGGCAGTGAAAACTTGGGAAGCAGGCTCATGTTTTTGGAGTTTGCGGGGTAAGTGGTTAGAAACGATAAAAGATTAGTATACTGATGGCTCTTTGGCAATATACTACAAAAAATAAAGGAGAGATAGTAGAAGCTTCCATTGGCTGTAACTCAAGTTACATGGCCTCAGTTAACTGTTGTGTGACGGGAAATACATTATGGTTGTGCACCTAGAAGGAAAAGAAGACCAAGTTTGGCAGACACGAGGCCATCTGCCTCATTTACCTTATTTTCACAAACATAGGATAACTAAACTAAAGCCACACCCATTTTTTCCCTGAGGAGACCCATTTGAAAGAGATTTTTTTTATTTTTGCTTAACTTTTTAATTTATAATACTTATCAGTTTACTCACATGTGCAAATTTACTTTGCATAATTATAAAAAATATTAGTTTAGAAATACTGTCTCATTCAAATCTCAGTTATCATGAAACAGTTTCACTTAACATTTAAACTCTTCATTCTTCATCACTAGAGCCACTCTGAGTATTATAAATTTCTGGAACACATGGTGATTTGTATAAAATATGAATGTATACATGATATTTTGGAAACTCTATGCAATTGTTTATAAAACACCAGAAACCCGGTGCATGGATTTGTGCACCGGTGGGGTCCCTTGGCCTGGCCTGCGGGGATCAGGCCGAAACCGGCTTTCCGAAATTCCCCGAGGGGTCTTGGATTGCGAGAGGGCACAGGCCAGGCCGAAGGACCCCACCAGTGCACGATCATGGCCGGGGAGGGACTGCAGGAGGGCTCCAGGGTGTGTCCAGCCCATCTTGCCCAGTCCGGATCAGCCAGACCCCAGCAGCAAGCTAAACTACCAGTCAGAGTGTCTCTCCCCTGGTGGTCAGTGTGCATCATAGTTAACAGTCGAATGGCGGCTTAGGCTTTTATATATGTAGATTATCCCATTTGCTTTTTAAGGAGATCTTTAAAAGGCTTTTGATAGTGCTGTCTAAATTGAAGTGGAGAAATTATGCATCCTATGTTAAACTTAATACATCTATATTAAACTTTTTGCCTTCCTGTTTCTTTCTTAATTTTTTTTTTGTCCCCCCCCCTATTTCTTTCTGATTCTATAAACATGCATTGATTCAGGTCTTATATATCTCTCCCAAACAGTAGTTTGTTCAAGGTAATGTAATTGAAGTGCCTCATAATATAAGATGCCGTAAGGACTAGAATATAAGTTGTCAATCTCATATCTTTTGGTAGCTTCATGATTAAAACAAAACTTTGTCTTGTATTGGAGTAGATTTAGTAATTTACCTTGTAGTAATAACTTTGTTCAGTAACAGAAGGGAGTGAAATCAATAAATAGCCTTTTAAAAATAAATCTCTCCTATCAACATTGTCAGATGCAGTATCTTAGTAAAGAAGTGTGCTTTCTGGCTACATCTGCTTCACACACAGATTTCATAAGCAAATGATATTTCTTAAGATATCACAGCATATATTAAGAGGCAAGCAATACACATCCACTTGCAAGGATAGGAAGCATGTGTCCCAACATTTACTGCTAATGTATATTTCAACTTCAAACTGTGCCCTATTGGACTTAGGTTTAAAATGAGGTATTCCATTTCAGTAAAACTAAATTTCTTCTTCAGTACTGATTTGAAAAGATAAAATATATATTTTGTGCATGTTGTTTGGGTATATACTTAGTTTTCATTATTTTTGCTTCCTCCTCCCAGGTTTTCAGCAAAATGACCCTCAACTCAAAAATCAGTTTATTAAGAATGCACCAAGAGGACCAGAAAATACAAAACAGCAGACACAGCTGCCTCTTCATCCTTCATGGGAAGCAAGCAGGAGGCGAAAAGAGCAGCAATCTAAAATTGCTGTGTTTCAGGGGAAAAAAATTACGTTTGATGATTAATTAGTACCTCTTTTTGTGAACTTTTCCATCTAAAAAATTGTTTTCCTTCTTTTTGTTTTTTACCAGCCCATTATTTAAACTCGTATTTGGATAAGTCTTTTTGGAGGAGGTATAGAAATCAGTTTGTTGTCTTTATTTCTCTTTTTTAAGTATGTTCAAGTTATGTTTACATAAATCTTGCACAAATCTATATAAGTTGGTTTTTAAAAATATGCCCAGAATGTTCCCTTTATAAAAGAATTTTGAGATTATTACTCAGATTTCCCCAGTTGTGCTTATCATGAAGTATATTTCACTGAATTAGGTCTGTGTTTCTTTGCCTTGAGAATAAAAGTTGAGATATATTTAAAATAATAATTGAAAACTATGAGGAAATGATAGCTATTTAAAGTAGATAACCTCTGCTAAAAGTTATTCTTGTTAGTAAAACTAAGATTAAGATAGTAATGTTTGGCCCTGGCTGGGTAGCTCAGTTGATTAGAGCATCTTCCCAGTACAACCAAGGTTGTGGTTTCAGTCCCTGGTCAGGGCACATACAAGAATCAACCAATGAATACATGAATAGATGGAACAATAAATTGATGTTTCTCTCTCTCTAATATCAATAAAAAAAGAGAGAGAGTAATGTTCATTTGGGGTACACAGGTAATAAATTATACAAAAATATTAATATTGTTATACAAAAAAATACTAATATTGTAGTTTTAATTAGTAATGATCTTGTACTTTTTGACTGTTTTAGTTTCCCAGGATAATTTTAGATTTCTTAATATTTCAATTATTTAAGTAACATACTGTTTAAATGTAGCAACACAACCAAAAATTAGTTTTCTATTTCACTCCATATAAATATTTCTGTTAAGTTCAAAATGTATGACACCTAATTACGTGGCCATCTGCTCTTATAGAAACATTTTTGAGGAATCATAGATTGAAGGAGTTATGATTAAAAGAGCATTTCTACAATAGCTGAACAGAAAGGTTATAAGATGACTCACTGAGGAGGGGGCTACTCTGTACATCATAGTATTTCTATTAAAAGAAAAATTAAGATTTTAAAAATCCTTTCAAGCCCGACTGGCATTGCTCAGTGGTTGAGCATCAACCTATGAACCAGGAGGACATGGTTCAATTCCTGGACAAGTCACATCCTGTGTTTCAGCAAAATGCGGGCACATCCAGTAGGGGGTGTGCAGGAAGCAGTCCATCAGTGATTCTCTCTCATTATTGATGTTTCTATCTCTCCCCTCTACCTTCCTCTCTGAAAGTAATAAAAATGTTTATGTGTGTGTGTGCACGTGCGCACATATATATACATAAATAATAAAATCTCTTCAAAAGTTAATGGCAGGGAAAGCCTTCTGATTAGCAGGAATTCACAAGCTTTGGAGAGTCATTTCTACATTTTCCATGAGCTTAAAAATTTAGATAACTTGAGCAATGGAATTCAAGATATTGTGTGGAAAGAAAATTATTTGTGTTGAATGCAAAATTTGTTTTTTTCTTTCAAATTTTATTTTGACATAATTTCAGTTATGTTAGATTGAAATTAATTTCAATTATGAAAATTTATTACAGTAAAAAAGTGAAAGAAAAATGTCTCTATGCCTACCCAGATTTAGCCAAGCTACGAAGTTGAGAGCACTATTTTCCAGACTGCCAAGTCTGCTTAAGACTTTACCCCAAGCCCTAACCGGTTTGGCTCAGTGGATAGAGCGTCGGCCTGCGGACTCAGGGTCCCAGGTTCAATTCCGGTCAAGGGCATGTACCTAGGTTGTGGGCACATACCCAGTAGGGAGTGTGCAGGAGGCAGCTGATCGATGTTTCTCTCTCATCAATGTTTCTAACTCTTTATCCCTCTCCCTTCTCTGTAAAAAATAAAATATATTTTAAAAAGAAAAAGACTTTACCCCAATTGCAAGGAGTTAGGGGCCAACTACAAAGTTAGAAGAGCCAACACAAGACCACTCTTCTGACACCAGTTGCAGGTTCGGAGTGGTGTGTGGGAAGGGGAATGGGTGGAGGGTTCCCCATACACTGAGATTCAATAATTAGCTAGAAAAACTTCTAGAGCTCACTGAAACCTATTATATTCACAAAGTTTATTTATCACAGGGAAAGCACACAAGTTATAAACAGCCATAGGGAGAGAAGCATAAGGCAATATCTATGAGGGTTCTAAATGCAAAGCTTCTCTGGTCCTCAGGACATACTATCATTGTGGCATCAAATGCAGATTGCCAATCTGAGGAGCTTTCTCAAGGTTTTGTATCCAGAATTTTTACTGTGCCTTCAATATTTAGGGATGATTGATTGATTGTTTACATGATTGTTCCAAAGGGACTGATACTTCATGACCCAAGCTCCTATGGTAAATCACATGGTTTGTCTTTTTTTAGTGTAGCCAGCTCCTACCCTAATCAAAGGTAGTCCAATCAGGTATGACATAGATTGCCTTCAAGAAGGTGAAGGCCAAGACAATTATTGTCTTCAGCAAGGCCGAGTTTTTTACCACACCCTATCCTGCACCCAAATTCCGTAAACATTTATTGCATTAACATTTTACTGCATTTTCTTTACATGTACTTTTCATCTTTCTCCTCCCTTTCTCCTTTTCCTCCTCCTCCTCCTATTTATCCCCCTCTCTTTCTGTCCTCCACTCTTTCTCCCTCTCCAACTGCTTTCTTGTTCTTGTCCTTTTCCCATTTCATTTTTCTTGTTTCCTTCTCTCCCCTCCACCCTTTATATTCTCTCTTTATAAACAAAGTCATTCTCTATTCTTTTGTGTTACCACAATCCAATTATCAAATGCTCAGATTTTTCCAATTGTCCCCATGTCTTTTTACAACAGAAAAGCCAACATCATACCTTACCTTCAGTTGCCATATCTCTTTAGTTGATAATAGTTTGAGTCTGTTTTAGTATTTTATGACATTGACATTTTTCAGAAGTGCTGAGCATTGTCCCTTTATTTGGGTTTGTCTGATGTCCCCATTATTAAATTCAAGTTAGGCACTTTGGGCAGGAATATCACAGGAGGGATGTTGTATTTATCCCAGTACATATTAAGAGGCAGGTGATGATGTTGATTTTCTTGTTTCAGGTAGTGTCTATGAGATTTCCCCACTGGAAAGTTAGTATTTTCCTCTTTGTAATGAATAATTATTTTTAGGGAGGTACTTTTAGACTATAGACTATTCTAAAACTTTCACTGACTAGTTCTACCATTCAGCTGTAATTCTTAACTGAAACAAATACTGCTAGAGTAAAAAAAAAATGTTTCTTCTTGTTTCTACAAATACTAGCTGGCTTTTTATATTAAGGAAGAACTATTCAGTTTTTAAATTTATTTCATTGTGATCTCATGGATAGCTCTTTCTATTTTTATTGGTTATTCTTTATTTTGTTGTGTCTAATACTGGCTTATAAGTTTTACAATATACATCTTTATCACAGTCTGATCTACAGTACACTTTTTTAAAAAAATTGATTTCAGAGAGAGGAAGGGAGAGGGAGAGATAGAAACATCAATGATGGGAGAGAATCATTGATTGGCTGCCTCCTGCACACCCCCTACTGGGGATCGAGCCTAAAACCCGGGCATGTGCCCTGATCAGGAATCAAACCATGACCTCCTGGTTCATAGGTTGACATTCAACCAATGAGCCACACTGGCAGGGCAGTACACTTTAATTTTCTTCCTCCCAGCCTTTGTTCTGTTATTTACATATATTTTGCTTCTACTTGTAACCCTATAATACATTGTTATTGTTTTTGCTGATAATAGGCCAGGAATGCTGCTAAACATTCTATAGTATATACAACAAAAAATTATCAAGGTCAAAATGTCAGCAATGCTAAGGTTGGGAACTTTAGTGTAGGGCTCATTTGGCCCCATTACTGAATCACTATCTTATGCTTTGTCTGTAAGGAAATCTTTCTGTTGTGTCTGGTGAGAACACAAACTATTCCTGGGACTGTAAGTTCTTGGTATTGTTCCACTACTTTCTAACGACTTTTCCCCCTGGCGTTGGTAGATTCTTCATACGCATTGCACAGATCAGTCTTATATGATCAGCTTGAAGGAACCCTTCTGTACATCTAGGAACCTTTCTGTGCATCTTCCTCTTCTGTATTTTTCCTCCCACAATCTAGTCAAATTAGCTTATCTAAACTCTGAACTACCGGGTAGTGAGCTGAAGCACTCAACTTATTTGGTTTTTTATCCTGTACAGCTTTTTTTGTCCATTATCCCAAAACCTTTGTTTTATAAATTTTATTAAGTTTTCTAGTTGCTTAATGTAGAAGGGCAAATCTGGTTTCAGTTATTATGTAACAGTCAGAAATAGAAATCCCTTATTTATTTTGATACTCAAATTGTCCTTAATTTGACCACTGGGAGCCTTTCACAATATATTTACTTATTTTCTCAACAGGAGAATACACAGAAGTTAGTTTCAGAATTGCTAATGATGCCTCTGTAAAACAGAAGTCCATTAACCAAACTTCAATATATGTTTAGAATGCTTTTTTCTTTAGCCTGAGGGCATATGGTCTCAAAACTAAGTTTGGAAGTTATCTGGGATGATGTCAGCAAAAATGGTGGAATAAGGGCATCCAGAAATTTTTCTCACTGTCACAGGCAATGAGAAAACTGTCCATATCGTCAGAAACAACTTTTTCAGAGCTATGGAATTAACCAAAGGCTTACAGCAATCCAGGGAGTATTTTTCAAGAAAAATGGCTTAATGTTCATAAGAATAGTGATCTTTGTGACATTTTAACTTGCCCTATTCTCGTCCCCCACTTCTTATATACCTGGTAGTCTTGAAAACCAGCAGCTGACAGCCACTGGGGGTCAGCTTCATAGATATATTATCAGAATTGTTATTATTTGACTACTTTGGTAGTTCACTGGAAGGCTCCTCTTGCAAATTTGTCTTGTGTCAAAGAGCTTGCCCAGTGCATAAAGCCATTTCCTGAGATCACTTAGAAAACAAAAAGAGGCAATTGTTCAACAGCATAGCTGCCTGAGGCAGTGAATAACTCTTGGGGCAAACAAAAATTTCATCAAAAAGCTTAAAAAGAAATATGAAGAATTTAATATCCTTGGGAAATCTGATAAGTTCTGACATATTTCTTGGAATTAAGGAAGTCACATGCGTAACACTGTGCATGTTCAGGAGAAAGCTGAAGATGCCCTAAACCAGGGGTGGGCAACCTTTTTGTGAGTGCGTGCCAAAACCAGCAAAATCTCTGACTCAAAATTCTTCTGCGTGCCAACCCTAATTTTTTGAGAACATGTTATGCCTACTTGATATCTCTTAAGGTGTACGTATGTGAAGAACCTTGAAGAAATAATCAAATTAATTCGAGCGACAAAAACACAGTATATGATGATGAAAAATACATTTATTTTTTAATGTATACATGTACACTGATAGTCCGACAGAAAACTTTATGACTCCGTTTGATATTATCAGTGGGACTTTTGCTGCTGCATCACTGATGACAGAGATTTTACATCAGGTTTATATTTCGTGACCTTCAGAGATATGCACGAGCTACTACTTTCATCCGCCAGGCTACTCCTATTGCGAGACTTAACAAATTCATCACTGAGAACAAAGATTCACAAGCATATGTGGATGAAACCAAAA